CTGTCGATGTTGACTCACAAATTCATTTATAATATATATTATATTTATAATATATATAACTGTACACATGTTACAATAATGCTTGTCATTTTACCAAGTCATCTTAACATCATCTAATTGTAAGTAATTTTAATTTTAGTTTTGTTGTCAACTATATTTACTTTATGAAAAATTTTAGTCTGTTTTTGACTTCACTGCTTAAGTGTTTTTCTAAATACTTGAGCGATCAATGACATTTGAATTTGAACAAAATGACAATTTGACTACGCCTCTGCATTTATTGCGAGACTAATAATGAACTGGAATATTTACTGGTGATTCTGATTTTATTCATTGTACTGAAGAGGACTCGAATAGGAATCGAAACATGTACGTTTTTTATTATATTTATCTACTAATATATATTTTTAAATACACTGTAATCTCTTCTCTGACGGCTTACATTCACTTTATTTCTAACTATTGGTTTATTTCATTTAAGCATGAATATTTTAAATTTTGTATATAATATAAAAAACATACGATATCTTTTGAAATAATTGTTCATTCAATAAGTTCGGCACTTGGACTGTCGCACGAAGGGGTGAGGTAATAAGGGGAACAGCGGCGCTCGAAAATCGGCTGAAAAGTGCCGAGTCCTGCAATAAATAAATAATTCGTATAATTTGAAATTTGTTGTGATGCTACAAATTCAATAAACTCAAAGTCATTTATTTAACAATACTGATAAAAAAGTACGTTTGCAATGTTATTATTATATTTGCACTGATTATGAGAGACAAAATCCACATAATCATATAGATATTTGAAAATATGTATATATATTTTTTTCAATATGCATATACATTCATAAAAAATGAAAAACATCTTTTGAGATAACTATTAATCCACTAAATATAAATATATATATTGAATTAATCCAATATGTGGATCCTCGGTTAAATACATCTACATACACACGTATATGTAATGATATTTCAAATATCGTGCCATTTGAAATATCATTACTGCATGTACAGATCAAGAAAATATAAATATGTATTCAAAATGCCTTGTTTAACAGTAATGTTCACACCTATATAGCGTTACATGCCCAGCGAACAGAAACGAACCGGCACCGACGAAGAACGTCCGACGGCCGGCGAGGAAATGTCTTCCTTTCACCTCCATCGCACCAGGGATCCTGCACGGGCCCGGCGTCGCGAAGGACTGGAAACGCGCTCGCGGTTCCGGTTGGTGGGGCCTAACATCGGTTGGTGCCATGTCCCACGAAGGTGCTGGCAGTATGAGAGACGACCCATGAAAGTAACAGTGCGCCTTCCGTCCACCTTCGCTGGGCTTGCGGCGCGATCGCCAGATAGACCCAAGCCAGTCGTACGCTCATCGTCCTGGAGAACGGTGCCTCGCGTCTCGTCTCGCAGGTACCAATAGCGCCGCGTCGTCCTTCAGTGTCGTTGTACAGATACAAGGTCGCGAGTGCAACGGCGATCGAATTTCCACCGCTGTGGACCCGCATCTTAAGCGGATGTACCTGACGCGCGATGTGTGCAAGCTGATGAGGTTCTCCTGACTGAAGATCGCGATTTAAAATCATCTGGGAGACTAAACCAAGCGACAAACATGGACTGGGTAAGAATCTCACATTTGAACCGGTGATAAGTCGAGTGATTTCTTCGCCGACTGATCTGCGACTGACAGATACCCCAAAATTATCGGATGTATTCTGCTATCTCGAAAACAACAGGATGTCAGAGTGTCACATTAAACGCTGAATCAAAATAAGAGTAATATGTTGAATTAATTATATAAAGAAACATTTTTAATATATTAAAGAAAAATTTTTAATATATTTTACATTACTATAGATTAAAAATCACTTCGTTAATTCCACACGTCTACAGAAAACGCATTCTGAAAGCGTTTTGTGATTTCTCTGAAACCTGTTTAAATACCAGTCGAAATGTCACGTTAGGCGCTGAATATGTTAAGATTCTAAGGGAAGCGATTTTTAATATTATTAACTCAATAGAAATCGCAATTTATTTTCTTTAATATTATGTATCTAGAAAAGACAGGCTTCTGAATACGATGATAATCATTTCTCTTTAAATGACTTTCTAACCGAACTGGAACTGAGTCACTGGGTGATTGGAACAAGAATTAGACTTGGGCAGAGGAACGGAGCTTCACTTTTATAGCAATAAATCATTATCTTCAATTATTCTTTAATGACTGATATTTTTCATTAATATTCAGCTAAGACAATGATATGCGGCCTTCGATAGTTCTTGCAATCATCAATTAGAAACGCGCAATCCTTTCTTTCGTATCTACTACTGTGACTTGTGACCACAAAACCTCGTTAATATTCTCTACAATTATCTTTTAATTAAAAAAAATAATTGTAGGGAAGATAAAATATTTAAGAGAATAAAAACAAATCTTATTTCTTGATTTTGTCGTGAAAATGTTGATTTAAATGAGCTATATATAATATATTTTTAGTTAAGCCCGAGAATTAGGAATCAATTTTAATTCGTTGACTTTTTAGATCTCGATTTATGAGATATTTTGACAAGCGCTCGGTACATCAGTTGTTCTTTTAGCATTTGCTAGAATATGTAGAATCTTCAAGCGCGACGCTATAACGACGGATGCACTCTCGGAAAAGTAACACAAGGACTACGCCTAGGCGGGAAGCGCGGACTTTCCGCGCGAGATGTATGTTATCTCAGAATCAAAACACGGACGGCGATGCTTGCGCCCAGCCGTTTTCCGCAAGATCCCGCGAGAAAATAATGTTTATTTGGAAATCACCGCGGGTCTCCGTGTACAAGGAACTCGCCTGCAGAATCCGTGTAATTACACCTCGTTACCCCCCGTACGACTCGCAATCCTTCTCACTGAGGGAGTGTGTTACTGGAACTGGAACGTGCGATGCGTAGACCAATTTCCGACCGAGCGAGCAACGATCGAAAATTGCATCAACGATTAATGAGAAATCGTACCTGATTATACGGGCGATCGCGATCGCGATTTATGATCTACACGATTCTACGCGCAAACGCAATCCGTTTTGGCGCGACTCGATGAGGCGAGGTAAAAGTTGCGCGTCGGAGGCTGAGATCGAATTCCAGAAGGAAAGATCTACATTCGCGTTGAGTAACGCGCAGGCGAGGGAAACATTTGACTTGCATATTCGCCCCGCGGTATCAAAATGCGATTACAAACGCGAACGGCGTGGAAAAGAAACCTTGAGAACTGAACGAGAAGTGCAAATCTATGGGCACGTCCGTAGGCGTAGGCGCTCGTTCCTTCTTTTTCTTTTTTCTTTTTTTTTAAACTCTTTGCATCTCACTAGTCACGCTTTCAACGAGTCCGCGGCGACTTAATGAGCACGAAAGTGAGAAGGAATGGAAAGGAGACGAGGAGAGAAAGGAATATCTCGTGCGAGCGCGACTCCTAATCTTATTCTAATTGACATAACTAAAGAGTCGATCCGAAAAGAAAGTAATGTCATTTAAAAAGAATAAGCTTAGCTCTCAAACTTAAGTTTTTCTAAAAATGGTATTGCGCGCCGGAACGTATTCAAAAATGGAATACAAATACGATCGAATCGTTTGAGAGTAAAGGTGGAAAGTAAAAGATACTAATGTTACATAATATTTTAATATATTTTTATTCATTATATGAATATGTTTATGTATTATTAATATATTCATTAATTATTTTATCTATATATCCGTCTTTCTTTAAAAGAAATCTACGATTTATTTCGATTTGTAGTGATTTTTACTTAGGGCCACGGAATATCTTCTGCATACGACTTCTAATCTTACTCTAATCAGCGTAACTAACCAAGTAGATTGAACAAAGGAAGTATTTTCAACAAAAGTAGACTTACAATTAGGGAAGTTCGAATTTCATTCAAATGATATTGCGCGGAGCATATTCATGCAGGAATGGAATAAAAATACGGTTCTATGAAAGTAGAGGTGGAAAGTGAAAGATAACATTACGTAATATTCGTACATTTTGTTTAATTAATTCATCTATATTATCTTTGTTTTTAAAATAAACC